TCAAACGCATGCAAAAGTGTATTGCTCTTCATGCAGAATATTTTGAAAAACAATAAAACCAATTTTAATTGTAATTCTTTGTTTTTTCATTATTAGGCCAGAAATATAAGTAGCAACCCACGTATAATATGCATTTACATGGTAGAGAATCTGAATGTTTGGAGCTGGATACACCATTAATGCATAAAGAATTAATACAGAATACAACGAACGAGCATGCTGCCACTGAATTATGTCAAAAGAATTTAAATATAATAGAAAAGGAAATTGTGTGAGAAGATTTGAATCACAATCCAAGTTTGCAAAGTATTAGAATATTACATTCCAGAAATGATATTTCAAATTCATTACATCATAATAATTAAATTGTTATTATAAAATTGTACAGATGAAGGCGATGAATATACTTGTAGTTTAGAGGATAACATAAACCTATCAAAGTTTGCAGTTGGTAACAAACAATATTCTACACCGATGGAAACTTTAAAGGAAACTTGTGAAGTTTACAGTAAAGGTAGCATCAATTTAACTAATTAAAACAACAAAATTATAATTGTCTATTAATTTTTAGATACTCTATTTATAACGTCTGCAATAAAAGGACTAAGTATGAATTTAACGATCTGGATATTAACGAAAATACCAATGCAATTAACAACTTCTGTCCAGTATTACATAGTGATACAGTCTCATCTAACTTGATTCACAAACATACTGGTTTCATTCTGAAAAATCAGAGTTCTAGAAACTTATGGTCTCTTCAATTCAGTTCTTCAAAATTCATACAGAAGTGAAGCATACCTGGTGACTCTAATCTGCAGGTTTTGTGAACCATTATCATCACTATCATTTACAAAACCCTGATTACAATCTCATCTGGACTGAGAGTCCATCCAAACTACCTCATTAAATCATCATACTCCCAAGGAAGGCAATAAAAGGAAACAGTTGAATTCCCTGGAAATCATTGGGTAAGCCTATGAGTACATACACTCACATACAATCAGGTACACACAATAATTCATTCATACCCAGACTTACTAACTCACCTAAACGGATCAAGAATACCCGAGCAAAGAAACAATCAATTCGTTCAGTTAAAAGTTATTCTAGTTTTCATTAATCAGAATATCATATCAGACTCAAGGAACAACCTTCCTTATATCGATCAAGGTATCCTCTGGAACCTATTTCCTATTCCTCCCGAATCTTATCTACTGGAACAATTGTCATAACGCGTGGACGTATCGTTTAGCACCGGCAAATCTGACCAACGAAACATCCTAACTACCTTTTCTAAATCAGCATTCACGAAATCTCTATAACACTCAATCGGTCCTCTTAAATATTGAACGTAAGAACATAACCATATTCCGTGTATTTGAAGAGCGATCGTAACAATATAGATAGTATTAGAATACTATTAGTACATTCAAAGTAAGTACTTTGGAATTCCTGGCACACACCCTCCAAGCAGTACTCGATAAGGAATCACCTAAAGTTTTATAAATTATTAAATCACCATTAAATCATAATCAACTACGGGAAGTAGTAATGTAAAAGGGCAGCGAAAACGTTATAGGAAAGTTTGAAAATACAATTAAAATGATGGACCATTGCGAGATCATACAATAGGCAAACATGTAGTGACTTATGTACTTGGCCCTAATAATATGATTTCAATACTTTTTACTTTCTCATCATATACAAAACTATGTAAGAAAGTATTGCAATCGAAAAAAAAATCGACTCCCAGATTTTGATGGAAATACATATTTTGAGGGTCCTAGATTCCAAAAAAAGCATTCACTCATTTCTGTCTGTGGTAAATTCTGTCCAAAAACACATTAACTTTCCAAAGAGGCTACGGATCGCAATGAAATTTGTTGTGTGTCTTCTGTGTATAAAATGCAGTTTTGGTATTGTAATTGACACCAAAACGCCAATCCGTTATGGCACTTAACCTGAAATGTGAAAAATTAAAAAAAAATTCTATCGATAGTCTTATTAAAAAATTACTATGCTCTAGTCTGCAGTGTACAGACCTTTCTTTTTACCAGTTTTATGAGAGCCAATAAAAAAGTCTTCTCAGTATACATCAATATCTAGACGTAGATACAATAGATACACCTCGATAAAAAACTGAATAAACTAAAAGAATTCTCTATTTCAACTATACATCACTCAATTCTTAACATCAAGTAATTTCGCAACCGCAACGTGATGCCAGTAACAATCGTGATGAGAAAGTCACGTGTTGCGATCACGCCAGTAGCACCTTTTTATTAGAGGAATTCACAGCACTCCTGTACTTAGCGTAGTTTTTTATACGTAAGTGTTTTTTTGGGGGATACACAAGTTTTTGTTGCTCAACGGGATATAGAAGCTCTAAACACTGAAATCTACATTTTTATATATATAAAATGTTAATCCATTGTGATTTCGCTAATTAGAAAAATATATTGTGTTGTCGAAAATGTTTAATGGCATACAAATTTAATTTGTAAGTCCATTTTTTTAAAAGTGCATAAAGATATATACAAATTTTTAACGGAAATGTAATCTTGAATGCATATAAGCGTCGTTAATGGTGTCCAGCTTGTTGAAGCCGTGTGGTAAACGTAAGAGAGGAAAGTGTGCTGGATTATTCACATACCTTAGGCCGTGCGAACAATAGAGAGGATACTATACAAAATGTAATCTTGAAATCTACATTTTTATATATATAAAATGTTAATCCATTGTGATTTCGCTAATTAGAAAAATATATTGTGTTGTCGAAAATGTTTAATGGCATACAAATTTAATTTGTAAGTCCATTTTTTTAAAAGTGCATAAAGATATATACAAATTTTTAACGGAAATGTAATCTTGAATGCATATAAGCGTCGTTAATGGTGTCCAGCTTGTTGAAGCCGTGTGGTAAACGTAAGAGAGGAAAGTGTGCTGGATTATTCACATACCTTAGGCCGTGCGAACAATAGAGAGGATACTATACAGTAACGTCCAATTGAAGTGGAACACTTCAATTTTTGTATATTTCTGTGAAATTATAACCGATTTCGAAAAACCAAAGACATATTTTTTATGAAATTTCATTCCCGTTCGAATGGTAAATGTTTCATCCCGTTCGGACACAAAATGGCCGAGCGACAGGGGTTGGAGTGAAATAGTGCATTTTGGGATTTTTCGAAAAGTGCGAGAACTAGTAGTTCCGGAAGGAAATTCATACTTCTAATTATGGCACGAGAAAAAGCATCCTTCAGCAGTTAAAAAACACTCCCATTGAACCTCTGTAACATCACTCTAGGGGAGAACTACACCTCCTTGAAGTGAAAACACTTAATTGGCTATAACTTCCGAACGCGCCGGTCAATCTGGTTCAGTTTTTGCGTGATATCGTCTTTAACGATAATGCAGATTCTCACAGAATTATTGTTTTTGGAGACGATCCCGTGCCGGAAATCTCGAGATATCGCAAGCGCATCCGAAGCTTCCCCGCCATTTTTCATTAGGAGTGCGATAAAATAAAAGTTCCATATTTATCCCATGTTGTAACTGAGCTTTCAACGATTAAAACGCGCTTTTAAACAACCAAAAATAAATTTGTTAAGGGGTTAAATTTTTCATTTGAAAAAACACCTAAATTTTGCGAGTTTCACTCGAGGTAGTCGGGTGACTACTACCCTACTACGCGCGAAGCGATTTTCATCCGAGTAAATTATTGTGAGAAGTGAACCTACATGTAAGGAAATGTTGTATTTTGCTCATGGCAATGCTTATGAGTTATATAAATTTTACCGATGTTATAGTGCGCTCAATATATTATTATTCCATGCAGTAATAAAGAGATTAGATAAATAGATAAATGTCCCTATTACTTGAACGTGCCTCAAATCCCTACCGGGGTAACCTTCATCATAGTAGTTTTCCCTCACCACTTGATAGACATCCAATGGATAGATGGTGTTGGTCCAGCCACAAATAGAAGCACCCCTCACATGTCTGTTTATTCCTATAAATTTACTCGACTAGAGTGAAAAATTTTCCTTAGACAGTGCATAATAGGGGCACTTACCTTATGACGGTAAGTTCATTACCGATCGAATAAAAGATTCACCAATGTTCCAAAAAATATACGATAATCCTGAAACTATCAAAAATGGGGAGAATGATGAAAAAAAAAAATGAATTATTTGACGTAATTGCTCCTGACAATAATCCAGTAATTGTTTTGAGCGGACACATTTTTAATGACTCCATCTCAACAATACACGGAACGCTGCATTGGATAGTTAGATTGATTCATATTGTTGCCTGAATATGGTTTTACCATAATATGTATAAAATGGGCGTACTAGCTTCAGGTGTTTTTTTTGACTGGTCGAAAGCAATATTATTGCATTTTATACATACTATGGTAAAACCATATTCAGGCAACAATGTGAATTAATCTAACTACCCAGGGTAGCGTTCCGTGTTTTGTTGGCAGAGAGAGTCATTAAAAATGTGTCCGCTCAAAACAATTACTGCATTACTGTCAGAAGCAATTACATCAAATAATTCATTTTTTTTTTCATCATTCTCCCCATTTTCGATAGTTTCAGGATATTAGTTGGATAATATCAGGATAATATCAGTATATTTGTTGGATCATTGGTGAATCTTTTATTCGATCGGTAATGTCATTATGAGTACCTTCTTTTCAGCTAATGTCATAACCATAAGGTAAGTGCCACTATTAAGGACTGTCTATGAAAAATCTTTCACTCTTGCCAAGTAAATTCATCGTAATAAACAGACATATAAGGATGAGTCTACTTGTGGCTGGACAGTTTTGAAATTAACTATACAGTGAAGTCCGGTTATTACGATTTCGCTTAAAACGATCGACAGCATATTGCATCATACTTACCCCCCTGAAGTGTGGTTCTCATACAGATCCTAGGGAAGTTTCTTAAAATATATTCGCGTGCAAAGACAAAAGCAAAGATACTCACTTGATTTAATGCCTGTTTGGTTGGGAAAGTCACAACTGGATTCTGACCATGAAGTTCCTTTTTTGGAAGCCTTTCCATGCATATTCTCATACTTTGTTCGGATCCCAAAGATATGACACAGAAGCCCTTCGACTGCCCGTTTGCACGATTTTCAAAAAACTTCACTTCAACAAAATCGGATACACCTATGCTCTGGACGACATCTGTTATATCCTGGTCACTTGTCCACTAGAAGAAAAAATTGTTTATCATAATATTATAAATGCAGATTAAAGCTTTCAATTGTTTGAAGTATTTCAAATATTTCAAACTGCACGTAAGCAGCGAAGAGATACGTGTATAAGCGTTTTTAATTTGTTAGGTGATAATTTCGAGATAATTATCATTAATATTTTCGATTATTAGCCTATCGACATTGAGTTGGACGGACTTGGGACTAGAATACTACGGTCCATTCTCTACTCATCTTATACTCAATTTCAAGATTTGTCATAGTTGGAAATATTTAAGTAGAAAAAAAAATGATTCGACACAAAAAAAAAAGAAAAATATTGGTTTAACATAATGAATTAATAATATTATTAAGCGTAATAATTTGTCTACTTCTAGCCTGATAATTGTGAGTATTGTCTTTCCTAACAATTGTGAGTACCTTCAGAATTATTTTTACAATTAGTCCCATGCTTCCAATAAACAAAACCATTCTATTCCAGCTAATCTTAAAAATATTCCACATATTATTTTGCGATATAATTCTGAATATTATATGTATTCAAATTGCAAGAGTTTTAAAGAAAAATTGGTTAGCCATAAACAGATGGTTCTTCATGATAGATCTGAGTTTCCGGTTCAACTGTGCATCATTTGATATATTAATCACACACAAAATCATTCGATTATAAGTTATGCCTATGAAATAACCAAGTCAAAATAATAATTTGCAGTTATTTTGATATCAACAGATTACAAATAATTAGACAGAGAAATAAATGCAACACAAAATCTCCGAAATGAAAACTATAGTTATTATTACTTTATATTCGTACCGCGCTTACTAAATCATTTTTAACTAATGATTTCATAAATATTAACGATGGACCGATACTAGTTTTAAAAAACGACATAGATAGAGGTATAGCATATCATATTGTGGGATAACATCTCAGAGTAATATAATTTTAATAATCGTAAAATCTGGTGACATTGCCTTTATTCGTTTTCCATGACGGCTAGTGTCCAACTGACTACTTTTGCTCCCTGTCCGCTGACCTCTCCTTCATCCGCACACCCACACGTCTCTCGCACAAACAGTCGTACACAACACACACGCTCTCACACTCAGACATGCGTTCTTACTTATTTTCTACAGTATACATAAAATCGCAAGAAAATGAATGTTTCAGAAAGAAATTCAAGCTGTAAAATTAGCGAATTAAACATAACACAAAAGCAATAAATATTACAACTTCCGTTATTTTTAAAACAAGATCTTGTCTAATGTAACTTTGATATGTAATGCTTTCTTTTTTTCCAATGAACAATAACCAGTGCACGTAAAAAAACTATGCAAATGACTCAACAGCCATATTGAATTTTCAACATGAAACTTATACTACACAATCATAGGCTCGTTAAAAGCTATTTAAGGTAGTTCGACCACTCGAGCACTTCCAAAATATGGATCTCAATGTTATATTTGTTCTTGACAGGCGCTGAACAGTCGTGCATGAAGATTTCAAAATTACTTACCGTCTAGTTTACGAGATACATGGAATGTAAGTAACCAAAAATACACCATATAAATATACTTTGCATCTTAAAATAGTAATATTTCATTCGAGATATATCAGCTTCCAGGCAGTAAGAGTGTATAAAATTGCTAAGAGACTTTTTTTTCATCGCTACGATGATTCTTAAATTGAAAGTCTTGGAATTTTTATTACTTTTTTACTACATTATTTAAACAATATATGATATAACAATTTTAAAGATGAAACTCTGTCCTTCCGCTTGTTTGAAAGAATACCTTACGTAGGAAATATTTTTGTAATGAACGATATACATAAAATTCACAGGAATTGAAATATTATTATTGTAATGATAGGCAAACCACCTTAAGTACGAATTTTTCGAATTTACAGTTTCACTTCCTTAGTGAAAATTAGTAGCGATACTAACTTTAGTAAAAATTTAAACCACCACAGTCCAAAAATAAATATCGGACTCGAATTGAGACTCGAGGCATTTGGCCATAGGCGTTTAGTTAGTTAACAAAACGTATAATCGACCACAATTAGGATTCCAGTAGACATTTAAGCATGGCTGACAGTCAGAACAAAAAAGCGGGGAATATCAGTCGCGCCCGGATGCCCCTAACACCAACCCATCCGAACCACATAGTAGCGTGAAGTAAGAGAGAAAACCGAATCGGGTGGGCTCGTATATTGGATCAGTATATGACAATAAGGGCCGGTTCCCGGGAAAGCTTGGCAGGGAAGGTGCCATGTGCGAACGAACATTGCTCGGGACCATACTGCATTTGGAAAGATGAGAGAAATCTGAACCTCCTTAAAGTCTAGCACGGCTATTGGAATACCACTGCAGTTCACATATGATAAAGCAAAATACTTGTTTCATACTGTCCTAAGAGAAAATATAGTTTCTCTGCTTTCATCATATCATAACGTTGGTAAAATAGACCTAAATATTGGAAAGTTTGAAATTGCCCAATTTTGTGAATTCACCGTATATTCGGTCAACTTTGCGATACACACACGACAACAAAGAAAAACTTTGACAGTGGCTCATGTCTATCTTTTACAGCCTGCTAAATCAAAGTGACATCAATATTATGATTAAATGATTATACATATACAACGTAAATGCTACAGTGAGAAAATAAATTACACGCGTTCATAGAAGAACTTGACGTTGTTGTTTTACAGCTAATATTAACGAAGCATGTACAAATGCCACAACTAAGGGCCGAACTACATATCTCAGAAGAAAACAGTTTGCAAATAATGTATACCTTTACTACCAGGGAATTAACCTAACCAAACAAAATTTAACTAAAAGGATGCGATCCCGTATCCACTTATATTTATTCTGCTGATAGGAAAACTAAAGAAAAATATATCATTTAAAACGTAGCGATGATTGATACATATTGCACAACCATTTGTCAAAAATTTCGTATTTCAAGGTATAAAAATTAAAAAATAAAAGATCTATGAGCAAGATAATGTTCTTATAAAACCTTTATTCCCTTTTTTATATATATACTACCTCAAAATTTGAAAATATTAATCAATGTTTTTTCGCTATGACATGGGCCGTAATTTATGTTAGAAATTATTTTTAAGTAAAATACTTCATTTCAAAAATTTATAAATATAAATTACAATGCAAGTTACAACCAGTTAAAATTACATACATGGTTTCGTACTGTAACTTGAAATGTAATTAATACTTTAAAATTTTTTAAAACCAATATGTAATTAATTTTTTATTTAAAAAGAATTTCTAATATAATTTGCAGCTCAGGTTACAGCAAATAATATACATGCGCAAATAATATACATACACACGTTATTGTTCCCAACAAATCAAGAATTCGTTACTTCCATACTCTTAAAAAAAATTCTGATTTTTTCGATAAATCATATTAAGATAAATATTTTCTTGTAGTCCCAGATCTCTTTTTCACGAATCTCAATGCACTTTTTACATTCAACAATATAAAGGAAAAAATTTAGTTATATGGTCTGTATTTTCCATGAATTTTCGCGACGTTCATTTTCATACAGATCATAGCGTTTTAAATATTTATCGAAATCCTACTTTTCTTTGTTATTCTTGCTACTCAGGCTTTGGCGTAGCAATGGGATTAAAAAATGAATCACTGCAAGGTCAACCTGGACATGGTAAGTTACTAATGTATTGAAATAATATAACATTTGAGGATTAAAATACTAAACATTATTTTTTTAATTAAAAATGCCTTGGGTTTAAAAGGAGATATATAAATTCTGAAAAAGTTCACCAAATATTTTGTTATATCACTGATACATTATGTTAATTTTTAAAAAATCCAAACCCTATGCTATCTACTAACTGTAATTAAAACTATTATTAAACAAATGCAATTAACCTACAATTGGCATTTAGCCGAAGTCAAGTACTAAAGCATCATTTAAACAAAGATAAACTGCACTATATGATCTACCAACCTAAGGTAAATGAAGATATGCACTACATTTCACTTTTATTCTTTAAATCATAATAACAGATTCTGAAAATAGTACTTATCTGCAAATCATTAAATTGGTCTCAGTGGCAACTAGAATCCTGATGATCATAAAATACAAAATATCAGGAAAAACGAGACTAATCCTCTAGAATAAAGCATCACACCAAAAATATTTCCATATAAAATATACCATCCTTGATACTATCAATTGATTCTTAGAAATAACCTTTCCTGGGAACCTTCAATTTACTAAATACTTAATATATAACTAAAACTTCTTAGTTTGATTATGTTAGAAAAATAAAATCACTGTTTCACTAACATACATCTGAACTCAAAGTTACTAATTCATACCTTGTCGACTACATTTATTACTAATAAACTACCAATTTATAACATTCTTTCTATAATGCATACTTATGATACACATACTTCTTCTCCAAATGATCTTTACACACTAAGTTAAATAAACCTTGCATAAACATTAATAATACTGTACCAAGGAATTTAGTTATAGATAGAATATAATGCTAAAAACAAATTAGGATAGAAATCTAAGGTTACAAACCTAAGACAAACTCAATGTAATATCAGATAGCATTCAATATTTACAATTTTTTATGCTAATCATAAAAGGTCTAAAGAGCTACCTTGAAATAATATAATGATACATTAGACTTACCCAAGTTAAATTGCCAACATACAACTGATGGCGCCTTCCTATTTGATTTGGTTGAATATTATTTCCAAGTTGATGATATGGAGCAGTACCATTTGATTCTTCATTCGGTGAAGTTGCATCAGCATCTCCAGCACCACTATTACTACCAGACACACCACCATTTCCACCAGGAGGAGCCGCAATTACATCATCGTATAGATCTACTCCATCTCCAGCAAACTCGTCCTATATTGAATTTAGAAATACACGATATAAAACAATTTGGAAACTTTGAACTGCTTTTTATAACAAAATATTAATAACTTATTACCACATGAAAATGTTTAAAAAATACATTTATAATTGCAGACAAATATCAAATGAGAAAATATATATATTTTACTTAAAATTCTTTAAATATAATCTCATATTAAAATAAGTCGTTCCAATACCTGTTAAATCTATGTAACATAATCTATAGTTTAATCATAATCAAGCTGAATAGGAACATCCAGTTTAAAAATATTCTAATATAATAAAATATTTACATTTGAAAAAGGGAAAACATTGATAAATGAAATTTTAATTTAATAGTGCAAATAAAGGAAATATGAAAGTTCCTATTAACAAATTATATTGCATAAAAGTATTTACTTAAATTTACATCATTCATAGGCTTGTTTACAACTAAGCATTTGCACCACAATTATAACATTATTTATACATAGAGATATCTTACATTTTACTGAATTATGATATGCATTCAGTATTACCATAATCTTACAAAATAATATCAATAGTAAAACAATTTCAGAAAAAAAGAAAACTCAAAGAAATTTGAGTAAAAACCAATTTCAATTTCAGTATATACGAGAAAGATAACTGTCGTCATGCTACTTTTAAAGTATATAATATTTCGTCAAAATCGTTTGTCTTACTTTTAACTGAACTCGAACTTTAATGCCAATAGGAAAATGCAAGTTGCCCGAATGCTTGCACCCACCATTTTTCACTCTATCTTTTTCGCACACATTTTCTCTGTCATTATTTACTCCGGCATTATGGTCCTAATAGACTCTCTTGACAAAAATGAGAAAAGGTGGATAAATATTACGAGATGAAGTGCAAGCAATGTTTCTAGGTGAGTATAGCTGTTCTTGCAAATTTTAAAAATCTATTCAATAGTTAGTTATATTCTAGTATCTGTTTGCCGCTCATGCCGCTTCTAACCGATCGTTATCGTCTCCTCACTGTGACGCGGAATATTAGCATGAAAGGAAATATTTATTAGGGCTTATCAAAGTTCTACACACATTCCAAACATAAGTATCATTGATTAATGCTATAATCTTAACTAGATACAAAAAAAACAACGTTAAATTACCTGCGCAAAATCTTGCTCAAGATCATCGGCATACAAATCAATGTCACCGTCCGCCATTTTACGAACACCGACGCTAACTGAACTCAACGAAAGCGCCAAGCATATACGCCCAAGTTTAACCAATCATAGACGTGTAACACCTAAGAATATAAGTAGAAACCACCTATAGCACCCTAAACGCAAGTTCTTCAACTTAAGTCCAATTCCCCCGATACAACTCGGAACGTGAACTCGGTTTATCTTTAAATATAAGTGATCGGCTAATCGCACAATTTAATCAAGTTTCTTCTTCTATTGCCGAAGGACTCAAGGGACCGTGAAGCGTTGTCAAACGAATCGTACAACTAACATGTGATCCTATTCCTGAATCTTACTATAAATTTATAACACGGTGAAATTATAATATGATTGTGCCATTGATCATTTTGAAAACTTACTTTCCTTTTATTAATTAAAAAAAACCCTAAGAATTTGCCGTATTAGGCTTTTATGCAGGCAGGTGGTAAATTTACACGAGCAGGTTTTAGAAAAGATTAACCAATCACCTTCGGTTATTCTTTTTAAACCTCAGGCATATTCCGTAATTAAACCACGGTTACAGTTATTAAATTTCAGTCAATTGCATCGATTGATTTCGACTGCTGAGAAAAATCAATCGATGTTATTGGCTAAAATTTAATAACCACACTGTGGTTCAATGACGGAATATACCCTTCCAGAGATGAGTAAGGAGATTGCCAATGAGCCTGTTTTTGGTGGTCTCAATTTTTCTCTGGTTTCGGCGCGCCACCTTAGCGGAGGGCCCTCGAAGCAGTTCCACGTTTTTGATTGGTCGTGTATATATAGTAATACTACGCGTGATAATCTGGAGCTGTATTTTCGCGCGTCGACGCGCCACCTGAACTAGACTCTCGAACTAGTTCCAAGTTTTTGATTGGTCGAATGAATTCGTGTGTTCTTCGAGATCCACGATTTTAAACCGGATGAACACTCAAATAGGGAGAGTTGAATCCACCCTTTCTTACTGCATATTACATAAACCCTAGTAATGAGGTAGTAAATTTTGCCGATGTTAATTCCCTTAATATCCATATGAAGCTTTGTAAATAATGGAGTGAGCAAATAAAACTTTAAACAGGAAATATTTATTAGGGCTTATCAAAGTTCTACACACATTCCAAACATAAGTATCATTGATTAATGCTATAATCTTAACTAGATACAAAAAAAACAACGTTAAATTACCTGCGCAAAATCTTGCTCAAGATCATCGGCATACAAATCAATGTCACCGTCCGCCATTTTACGAACACCGACGCTAACTGAACTCAACGAAAGCGCCAAGCATATACGCCCAAGTTTAACCAATCATAGACGTGTAACACCTAAGAATATAAGTAGAAACCACCTATAGCACCCTAAACGCAAGTTCTTCAACTTAAGTCCAATTCCCCCGATACAACTCGGAACGTGAACTCGGTTTATCTTTAAATATAAGTGATCGGCTAATCGCACAATTTAATCAAGTTTCTTCTTCTATTGCCGAAGGACTCAAGGGACCGTGAAGCGTTGTCAAACGAATCGTACAACTAACATGTGATCCTATTCCTGAATCTTACTATAAATTTATAACACGGTGAAATTATAATATGATTGTGCCATTGATCATTTTGAAAACTTACTTTCCTTTTATTAATTAAAAAAAACCCTAAGAATTTGCCGTATTAGGCTTTTATGCAGGCAGGTGGTAAATTTACACGAGCAGGTTTTAGAAAAGATTAACCAATCACCTTCGGTTATTCTTTTTAAACCTCAGGCATATTCCGTAATTAAACCACGGTTACAGTTATTAAATTTCAGTCAATTGCATCGATTGATTTCGACTGCTGAGAAAAATCAATCGATGTTATTGGCTAAAATTTAATAACCACACTGTGGTTCAATGACGGAATATACCCTTCCAGAGATGAGTAAGGAGATTGCCAATGAGCCTGTTTTTGGTGGTCTCAATTTTTCTCTGGTTTCGGCGCGCCACCTTAGCGGAGGGCCCTCGAAGCAGTTCCACGTTTTTGATTGGTCGTGTATATATAGTAATACTACGCGTGATAATCTGGAGCTGTATTTTCGCGCGTCGACGCGCCACCTGAACTAGACTCTCGAACTAGTTCCAAGTTTTTGATTGGTCGAATGAATTCGTGTGTTCTTCGAGATCCACGATTTTAAACCGGATGAACACTCAAATAGGGAGAGTTGAATCCACCCTTTCTTACTGCATATTACATAAACCCTAGTAATGAGGTAGTAAATTTTGCCGATGTTAATTCCCTTAATATCCATATGAAGCTTTGTAAATAATGGAGTGAGCAAATAAAACTTTAAACAAACCCTCGAACGTGGGGAACTACAGAAATATAAAGTTTCCAATTTCTACAGCACCATGGCTCGGTAGCGTACGTACTTGGTGCTGGATTAACGTCCGAGAGTCTCCAGTTCGGAACTCACTTCTCATCCCTTTTTTTTTTCTTAATTATCAACTGTGCTTATTGCTTCACCTAGTTAACTGAAGATTCATAGAGACGTGATTAAACTTACCGGAGTCTCGTCTCTTTCCAATGTCACATGCAGTTCTCCGACTTCCTTTGTGACATGTGCGTCTGATGTTTCCGGCCAAACATCTTCATTCTCGATGAACATCTTTGGAACCGCATCATGAGTCAAACGGCGCTTCGGACCAATGAAACAGCTCGGTTCAAAGTGTTCTTTGCATAGTCCGCAAACTCGAAGAGTAGACGCTGATAACCCTTTCAGTCGCTTATTACCTAGAACGCAATGAAAGAACATGTTCAATGATCAATATAATTGCATCTAAGAAATTTTTTAGCAATTCTAACTAGTAATAATCAAACAGCAGTGCAACTGCGACAGTTTGAAAATAACGAAAAATTACTGCATGAGTCCTGCATGGCAGATTCGAATTAAACAGCTGCAAGTTTGTAGAAATCACTATTATCTAACATGAAGTTTTTTGTTCATGAATATCTACTTCTTTCCAAGGCGCCGCAGATTCTTTAATCATGCATTTTTTAATTTAATTATACATTGATAGTACACAAAAATTCGTGAACCAACGAAATATTTTGTTTTATTTCAGACTAACAGTTCAGATACTATAATGCACGCCAGATAGTAACTTTGTAGCCCAAGCACTGCATATGAGCCCTTATAAAACATATTTCACACCAATTTTTAATTTAAACATTATAAATTTTGTATACACATAACAAATATTTGTCAACGTCTAGAAAAAAAATGTAAATCATACATTCAAAGATTTTCTTTAAAGAAATTTTAAAAAATTCCTTTTTTTAAGCGCTCTATTGCCTGTCACCTTCTTCATCCCATGCGCTCGTGTACTACACCTCCCACCGCACGCCGCCACGCCAATCCCTTCCATGCTCGCACGCGGTCCCCGATCGCCGCTCGCCGAGCTGCATCGCGACAGAATAGTTTCGACGTGCGACCAAAATGGTAAGTCTTGTTTCCTTTTAATAATATATCGTTCCTCCCTTTCCTTTACGACATCATCTTCTAGAGAAGAGATGTGTCAGTTTAAATAGTATATTGCAATACAAAAACCTCATCGCAGGATATACTGAAATTTTAGGATATCTACAAAGTTTAATGTAATTCGTTTGGTTTATTTTACAGAATAACAAAGAAACCCTGGAGAGTGAGACGAAGAAGACGAACGAACAGAAGACGAGACGAACAGAGCGATTTGACGTAAGTTTAAAAAAACATGTTCGTGATTAATGTACATATATTGTTTTAGACATTCCATTTCAAATTATTTGTATTAACGTGTTTTTGTATTGTTTGTAGAACTGAGAAGCAGCAGCACGCGGTGGCAGAGCAGGCCACAAAAAAAAACCCAAAAAGAACCCCAAATAGAACCAAAAGAACTGACGGGAACACCGGGCAGTCAGGGACGAGGTGGTGGTAGTAAGTGCAAATTTTGTATGAACAATTAGTAACTACGATACATTTTCTTTAAATACTATTATATATTTTGCTCTATTTTCAGATGGGAAACAAAAACCGAATTGGCGGTGGAGCCGCAAGCAGCGGCAGGCGGCCAACGGTGGACAGCAGGCCCCGCATCGTGGCCGCGGAGGGCAAAACCGCCGTCCCAATACACGTAATACACCACCAGCAGCAGCAACAGAAGGGGCAGACCGCGCATTGTGCATTATGATGGAGGCAATTCTGGATAGGTTTTAATTATACTTTATCCAGAATTAGAATAATAAATTAATATATTTCTCTAATTATAATGTGTTCCCCTTATTCTCCCTCCCCGCCTATAGAGATAGTACTTTTGATAATAGAACCTTTTATCTGTAGACTAGATCTTTCAGAGGACATACAACATTTTTTGTGTGTAAAGTTCAACTTATATTAACGAAATTTTCTAACTACTGACAATGAACTTTTAAATACTGTATTAGACACTGCGTGAAGTTCACTCTAATAAGATTCAGTGTACACACAAAAGGTATGCCAGATAAGTGTACAGATAGAAAGTTTATATTAACAACTCACCTGTATTTTTGATCCATATTGCCAGTCGAGGATCGTCCTTCTTAGGAAACCTGTACAGTCTGGACTTGGTCGTTAACTTTCCGTTTGCACATCTTCTGTACGCACAGAAATCATACTGCCTTTCCTTTTTCTTACTTTTGTGTTCCATACTTGAAACGCTTATATTCATTCACTCTATATTTGAAAACGCAGAGCGAACTGACACTCTCAAACTAGAAGAAAGAACTGAAAAAGGCTAGCAGAAGCCGCGGGAATGTTTGCAGTTTGCTTGCAACATTGTATGCCTTCATAGGTTCGCGGCATATTCTTCAAAAGGTTCCGTTCACTATTACTATTCTACGATTGCTATAGTTCATTCCCGATTTTCATGTGTTTTATTTGACAAATGGAAAACAATGAAGTCTCTAGCGAGGCGCACATGTCATTACATATAGTATTTGTTATAAAACTGCATATGCAATGTCTTGAACTACACATATTTCATTTCGCGTGTGGTTTGTTTAGGGCTGTATTATTTTTTAACTTCGCCCTCCCATGCGAGCCAAGCAACACCGGGTCAACAAAAATTAAACAAAAAAGAAATTAAGAAAAACAAAATTTTCGTCTCTAGACGCGAACGCGGCACCTTACGATTACGAAGCTGAAT